GGGCAACGCCGGGCTCTACTGCTAGTGTTATATAAAAATTCTTGATTTGGACAGAGAGGATGTGTAGAGGTTCAACGAAGATTTGTCTCCATCAATTCCTCTGTGCATAATCCTAATCTCTCTGATTCTTCCTCACCCTACCCTTTTGCCACAACTCGAACAATAAAGATATTTATATATTTGATGTAATGAATATGCATACACATGGGTTCCCCTTCACAGTAATATGATTGGCTAGTGTCAGCCATAAATACAGACTGATGTGGAGTTACATGAGGACGCCTATTGACTACGCCTATTGTCTTCGCCTATTGCCTACGCCTATTGCATATAACGACGATGAGGACCAGTCCATTACGGTTACCTGCTAGATTGCCCTGCCCGGTTACAGTAGTCAACAACCGCTTTGCTACTTCGAAAAAATATATCCCTTTTCTGTGAGATATAAATATTTATATATATAAGTAATCGTCACCTTATTTGAACACAACAAACAATATTTGATTTAATAACTATGCAGAGATACAGAAACATACAACTATATATATTTTGACAGCTAAAAACTACTAATGTCTTTAATAGCATTTGAGAATTTCGTAACAGCCCGTTCAGACAATAGTCATTTGATGAATATCTCGTACACAAACGAATGCTTTCCAAAAAGTAATCATTAAGACATGAGATAACTTTTTGTTTTCCTTTTTTAGTCGTCCCGACTAGATATAGTATTTTTCTTTTTTATTACTTGCGCTTAAATTGCGATATTTAGGACAATTTGATTCGTATATCTACAGGGGTTGGACAAAATAATTGGAACAGTTGCAAAATCCACACCTATATTTCAAAGACCTATTATATTAAAAACTTTAACTAAAACTTCGTAATTTCAGGTTATATCTATTGTAAATACGTTTATTTATATAATTTACTGTCTTTGTCTTATTTATTTTTAGAATTTAATAAAATTTAAGCTAAAGGAGTGACCTCTCCGAGTTCGAAAAAGAGCAAATTGTTGGACTCGCATGGCAGGAGCCTCGATCACTAAGGTTGCTGAACTGTTTTGTTTTTCAAAAACTACCATATCAAGAACACTGATGCAATTCGAGAAAAAGGGCAAGACGTCTAGCAACCGTATCAATTCGGGCCGGACTTGCAAACTTACTGACAGAGACTGACGTGCATTGAAACGTAATGTGGCAAAAAATCATCGGACTACTGCGGCCAAAGTGACTGCTGAGTTGAATAACCATCTGGATAGTTCAGTTTCTACTTAAACTGTTCACCGTGAGCTCCATAAGGCTGCATATCATGGAAGAGCCACTGTGAGAAAACCTCTTCTCTTCACTCGCAACATTCAAAAGAGGTAGAAGTGGTGCAGAGATCACAATGCCTGGTCTGTAGAACAATGGAAGCAAGTCATATACTCAAACAAGTCCAGTTTTTCTCTTTTCTTAACTTCAAGGCAAGTTTTGTATGGAGGCAGCCCAAAGAAGCTTACAACCCTGACTGTCTTCTTCCAACAGTGAAGCATGGAGGTGAATCAGTGATAGATTGGGTCGTCATATCATGGAAATGTCTCAGTCCAATAGTTGCCCTGCATGGTAGAATCAACAGCAAAGATTACCTGAACATTTTGGGAGATCATGTTCATCCAATGGCCAAGACTTTATTCCCTGATGGTGACTGCATCTTCCGAGACGATAATGCTCCAATACATACAGCTCGAGTGGTTAATAATTGGTATGAAGAGCATGAAAGTGAGCTAGAACACATGGAGTGGCCTCTTCCCCAATCTCAAGATATCAATCTTATTGAACATTTGTGGTGCATTTTGGAGCAACAATTTAGGAGCCAGTATCCTCCACCGTCGTGTCGTAAAGAGCTGGAGAAGGTTTTAATGAAAGAATGACGGAAAATTCCTCTGGATAAAATCAGGAAGCAGTATGATTGCATTCCTAGACGTATTAAAGCTGTCTGTGAGGCTAAGAGAGGACCAAATCCATATTAAATAAATTTTCTTTGAATTTAGTAAGTGTTCCAATTTTTTTGTCCAACCTCTGTATGTGCTCTATATTGATTAAATATTTTATTTAACTGTTGCACCATTTTTCCCTCAGTATGTTACCATTTCATTCTGGGATAGACTTGTTGCCATGCAAGATTATAGAACCATGTCTGTTCTGTTATTTAGTCATAGCGAGTGTGGGCAGAGAAGAGGATTCAGACCATGTACAAGAGTATTAGCACGTAAGTGAATGTAATGGATTCGACTGGAATCTGAGTCGCTTATCCATTACACCACCTTACTGGGCTTAAATTCGTGAATTCGGGGTACCGAAGTTTAAAGCTTCTTCGTCAAATCACCATGAAACTATTAATAGAGAAGGCACAGGGAAACTACTCTACAGCTGTGGGAAAGTCACTGATGCCGAGAAGCCATGTCAGCACCGATAACATTGCTGATTTTAAATTCTGATATAAAATGATATATTCTTTGGTTCAATGATAGTCCATGAAATAAATGTATCCAAAAATTCTTAAAATGAAAAATGTATACCTGGTATAAGAGAAAAATTGTCCAATTGTGAGATGAAGTTTTGAACTTTTGTATCTTAGAAATGATTAATAATATCTTACTGGAATTTTCCGAGGGTTTTATAACACTATTGGACATTGCTTAGGGCAAGATAACTGTATAATTATTCCCCAAGCTTAAGAGTGGAAATGTGATGAATTCGATCATAAACGAAAATGGCATGATTATCATTAATTAATTATTGCCAAGTATCGGAAGTTTATGAATGATTGATATAAAGTATATATATATATATATATATATATATATATATATATATATATATATATATATATATATTATTCGAGGATATCTTCGCCCTCTAACCTATTAACATTCTGTCCTGGAGTAACAAGGTGTCTCACACGCTTCACGTACGGTTTCATTTTTAAGGCTTTTCCCCTGCTCTTTGGACTTTCATACCTGAAACACCTCTCTCACATGCCAAACATCATATGGATTGAGTTGGATCTTTTCTAATTGGTTTCTTAACTTTAATTTGAAATAATGATCCTACTTCCTGTTGTGACCTCCTGATGTACTTCTCCTTTCTACTTTCCACTCTGTTGGTACCAATGGTATTTTACTTCTCACAATTCTTCAATTGTGGAGACAGTGGGACTGGCACAAAAAGATTTTAAACTGTTCTCTTTGTATCTGAATAACTGAATTTTTTTTTCAGAGAGTTTTACGACAAATGGTGTCAAGATGGTTAAACGTCTTATCTGAAAAAAAAATCTCAATTTGTTTAGAGTCCTATTTTTATTTCGATATTAAACATTTTGCGGGGATGGACAATTATGCTGTTACACGATTTCGACAATTTTGCTGTTACACTCGGTATATGTATATTTTATATGTTTCGTCTCTACATCTGAAGAAATGGAAGAGGCGAGAACATTATAAAGGCGGTAAATATTCCAATGCTGGGAAGGAAAAGAAAAGCAAGCCATCTTTTAAGACGTGTAATAGATTATATATGGTTTAGACTTGTTCATGTTTTCAGGTGGAAGGTTTTACTGGCCGACTTTATCACTATCTGCAATTTCTCATATGAAGAAACGCATAGACTGGCTTAGGAAGAGAAAAAAGTTAGATAACTGTTTCTGTACACACGAAGATATAAATTATAATGCTATTTTCCCCTAAGTGCATTGTCAAATTGTGTAACTGTACTCCAATGAAATCCGAACGAATCATTTGATATGCTCTTGTCACGAATCTGTCATACGAGAGGGATACACATTTTGTGTGCGAAGTACAGGCGGGAAATAAATGATTGTTTTTGTTAAGTTTTAAAGTTATCTTTTCATAAAGTCAGTCCTTCATCCAAATATTAAATACACGACTCATATTTTCGATATCGACATGATGATGCTTTGTAGCGAATATATGTACCATATTTCATACCATTATAGCTGGTTTCATAGAACATAAATATATGTTGTTGTAATTTCTCTCTTTCCTTACCATGATAGATGTTTTTTCTATTGTATCTTAAATCATTCAATAAATAAATAATGACCACAACAAAAATAACATCACCGCCATGAACACCAGAAATAATAATAGTAACTTTACAAAAGACTTCCATATGTGCTAAATATAATTATTTTATTACTCAATTTCAAACAAGACAAGGACCAAGAGCCACTGAAGTTAGAAGGTTATAAAATAAAGTAAGTGTTATAGAGGTAAGTGGAAGAGAATATTATAAGGATATCATCGTCGTCGTTGACAGAACACTTTGCCGAATATTGGTAAGCTCATTGGCATCTGCGACATCCGAAGTCGCGGCATGTTAGAGTGTGAAGGTTCAGGAGATGGAGAGATTTGGCTTTTCTTGGTTTTTCTTCGTTTCTTCTATTTGCCTTTTAGTGTTTCAGAAGAATGCTGCTTACTCGTGGATTGTTCTTCCACAATCGGTTCTTTCTGAAGCTTCCGTCTTCCAACTGACCATCGATACCGCACCGATAGCGGCCTCTTCAGCATATCACGCCTACGGTCCAAGATTCGAGCAACAAACGCACGGGGCACAGAGTTCCAATACGCGGATGCCAGCTACACCCAAGCCCATGAACTCGAAAGCCTTCCAGAACTCAACGTTCAACCTCTCAACGCTGTACATGCGCCATGCACTCACTATCAATGTAGCAAAATCCAAGGTCGTGCTCTAACTACGACCGGGGCGTCAATCACCACCTGGACTCCAAATCACCATCAACGGACTCGGAGAACGTTGAAGGACGTTTTGTAGGAGAGTTAACTATTTGCAATGGACGTGAAGAGAATTGCTGAGCTTAAAATTGTATGAGTTTCGCCGTGTTCGAAGAAGCATCTGCACATGATTCAGCTTCACAAAGTAAATGATATCGGTAGAGAAATCGAACTTGGCAAATACATTTCAGATTTATGCTACAATTCCATGGGTCACCTTAGGAAAAATAGACTTTCAAAAGAAAGGAAGGTCTCGCTCTCTCTTTGTCTCTGTATCTCTGTCTCTTCGTATCTCTCTCTCTCTCTGTCTCTATGTCTCTCTTTGTGTCTCTGTCTGTCTCTTTGTATTTCAATTCTAAATGAATAACTGCAAGTTGGTGCAACGTCAAATAACACAGAATCGACAAAACTAGTTCGATTTTCGTCTGCGACAGCTTAACTTTGACTACAATACACACAAAAATCCCACGAATCCAGGCCTTAGCATTAATAATATTTAGGAATGCATGGATCTTTATTTTCCCTACATTCGAGATTTGTACTAAATTGAGGTGCCATATTGTATAATAGTTATCAATTGGTAAAACAAAATCAACTAACCAAATCCGAATTTATGCTACTTTTATTTCCGTTATGTTCTCCTGCTGATGATACAATTTTCAAGAATTCTTGACGATTACCTTTCCATTTAGCCTGTCCTGTCGTCAAATATCTTCTCATAATCTCTCGTCAATGTCATGTCACGACGTCCGAGAAGGAATGGTTCCTCTCAATCGAATCATTAACCCGTAATTATTCCTCTCCAGCTTACGGTAAAGATCCATTACATGTGGACAGATGACAGTAATATTTAAGTTATCTTTCTTTATGGTACGAATTTGACAATTCAAGTATGGCTGCAACTTCCCACGAGGTCAAATGGATAAAAGGATTTGAGGATAAATAAGGTCCCAAACGAAGGATTGGGTTTTGGCACTGGGTAACCCTCAAGAACGCTATTAGTACATTAGAGAGGTGCTGAGCGACGGCTGTAATCTCCAGTGACAATAAATATTTTTTAAAAATCTTCAATATTTTTGCTATTAATACAAGATTTACCTTTTTTTCGAAGACCTAGAGTTACTCAGATGTTGTTCTGCGCGATATAGCTATTCAGGAATGATTTCCGTTTTTTTTTTAAATGCCATGATTCTTCAGTACGAACGAGACTATAATTCTTCACTGATTCTTTTTCCTTATTAAACGTAAATTTATGTATAATTCATTGGGAAATATATTGACAGCTTTCATTGCCTTCTTTATTATTGCCCATATATAGTAAAACATAAACGGTGGTTGGGAGACATTGATTAATACCATTCCCAAGGGCATGAATGTAAAAAATGAACGTGAGAGAAAAGCCCGGAATTTAAATATGACTCCCCGATTCCACTCCTCTTAATAATAATCATTACGCTATTAGAAGAATCATAAGTATAAATTTCCATTTTTAACGATACTGACGAAAATAAATATAAATGTTTAATCAATCCACCCCAAGCAAGGTGATAATGCCACTAAGATGTAAGGTTCTGATGGAAGTGAAAGAGGGGGAAAATACTTTAGAAGGAACCGGAAACACAATCCTAAACAGGAAGCAAATAATAAACTTCTACTCAGCTTTAAAAGACCGGAGAGTAGTATGAAACGGAAGATGTTCAAAGATATCTAATCCTATTGAAGAGAAATATATAAAGAGTAAATGGTAAATAATATTTAACTATTTAGGTAGAGACATTTGAAGTATACAGTTCAAATAGACTTCATAAAGAACAGAAAATCAAATTCTAAACAGGAAACAAGGGATACATCTCTATTCTTGTTAAAAAAAACAGGAGATGAGTATGCGCAGGCTGATAGACGAACCTATCTATTGTGTTACAAGAAATAAAATATACCATAATTCTCTATGTATAACACATATTTTTTTCTAAAAATAAGAAGCAAAATTAGGGGTGCGTATTATGCACAGCTAAAAAATGTCTTGAAAAAATTGCCGTTTCATAGGTCGATTTCATTTGCGAAATGACTAATCACCAATGACATACGAAAATTTGGCACTAACATTCGGCAATTGCGACCCCGTATGGATGACAAATACAATGATATGTACCTAACAATACGTACAAATGTAAAATAAAATACAAATTATCATAAAACTAAAATAGAATAATAATATTCTATGTTCAAAACAATTTTCTGTGAAAAACTACATACATCTCAGTTAGATTGCACATTCTATCGAAAAAAACAACAACAAGCTAATGAGTCTGCGCAGTAGGCACTATAGAGGTATTTCCGTTTCCTTTTAGAATCCTTATGTTGATAAATATCTTCAATTACAGCTTGAATAAGAGTAGGAAATGCTGGCCGTAATGGAATTAGATAGGTACAATTTATAGGGTTTAATTACCAAACAAGAAGTCTGTATTATGCCTGAGTAGAAGCATTTTCCTACACTTTCAACATAATTTTAGGCATGCGTATTATGGATGAAGGCGTATTATACATGGGGAATTAAGTTAAATGAGAAAATATCTTATTTAAGCGTGATTGTGGGGATATATTTTCTAAAATTGTTATCAACTGTATTGAATGTAGATACTGACGCGATGGAATTAACATAGTTTATTTGGGAATACAGATTATATAAGAGTTGAAAAGCTTGATTTAACCAGCGCTGTGAAAAAGAATAATCCCAAAATTTGCGCTGAAAGATTAATGAAAAAAGGTGCCAAATAAATTTACGTCCGGAGAGAACCTAAACAAATCTGAATAAAGTTTCAATAAAAGAGCTCGTCCGGAATATGACGACAAGATACATCTGGCAGCAAGGCCTCTGATCGAGAGATTGCAGCGTTTGGGGAGCGTGGAATCACCTCGTAATTGCTGTTTCACCCAGTTCCACACTGACCCGAGGTGCAGCAGCTGTTAGCGTCCCAGCTATATGCAAATAATGAAGCCCCTCAAAAAAACAAAACACCATAAAATTATAAAATATTTTTATAGTAAAATACTAGTGTAACACACACACACACACACACACACACACACACATATATATATATATATATATATATATATATATATATAGTGTGTGTGTGTGTGTGTGTTACACTAGTATTTTTACTATAAATGTACTAGTAATATATATATATATATATATATATATATAATAAAAAGAAAGAACAGTAAGATATAAAATCCGGTGTTCTTATAGATATTTTATTTTTACAAAATAGTGCTCAATGTAACTTTACAGAGCATTAATATTATAAATTAATTGATTTAAAATATGGTTATTTTTCGCTACACAGTTCCAACTATGTTTCAAAAATAGAAGCTAAAAACCCTAATTTTATTTTTTTTGCAAATAAATTAAAAGCATTAGTTCTATTTCATCTTCAAGCGAATTTTGGAGTAACTTTTTAAAATTTACCGGGTTTTTAAATACACAGCTAAAATCACGTTTCCATGGTTACAGAATATTCTACTCAAATTGAACACGGGGTGTCTAGATTTTCCTTATGACAGTATCATTGTATCAGTTATTAGCTACATTTTGGTAAGGGGTGAGGATGTATTTTACACTGAAACCTGACGTCGGTTGAATGGATGTCGTCTGAATTTAAAAAAAAAAAAAAAAAAAAAAATTGTTAACGGTAAAAAATTTTTAACGTCATCTTTTAAAATTAAAGATTTTTTTTTACAATACTTTTTATTTAACTACGATTTGAAATATTTTCCTTTTTAATTTTTATTTTACTATATTCTTTTTAAGAACAGTTAAATGTATTAGAATCCATTATATTATGTAGGATTATTTTAACATTAAGTTTAAGTATGTATATGAGGTTACATTTTTTTTTTTTTTTTTTTTTTTTTATATGACTATGACAGCAGAAATGGTTACTTAATTTCACTGATTCAGTAAACTTTTCTTTTATATATAAACCTATTATTATAATATTTCACATGTAAGTACTGAGGACATGGGTCATTCAAAAGCTTACATGTTATGGTATTTCATATTAATTTTATTTTACTATAGGTGTTATTTTTGGATTCTTTTTTAATGCGTGTAGTATTATTTAAAAGAAATTTAGGTTAGAATTCATTCAATTTAACTACAATTTTAATTACAAATTCAAAATTACAACTTTAAAATTTTAAAATATTTTTCATTGTTTAGTTTTAATAGACTATATTACTTTATAACAGAAGGAAAATTACTCATAAAGTAAGATTATTTTTCCATATCAAAGTATATGTAAATTTTTTTTTTTTTTTTTTTTCTTTTCTTCTTTAAATTTAAATATTATTTAAGTAATATTAATGGCACTTACTACAAAACTAGCTAAGTCATTTCTCAGATTTAAAACTTTATTTATTTATTAATTAATTAATTTATTTAAAATATATTTAATTAATAAAGTTTCATATGTTATAAATAACATGTTAGAATTCATTTTATTTACTACAATTTTAAAAAAATTTTAAAAATTATAACTTTAAAATTTTAAAATTTTTCAGTTTTTAAAACTATATTAATGAATTTACTAAAAAATGTTATTTAATGGCCCAGACTACAAAATTATTCATTAAAGTAATATAGTCTAAAATTGCATAAAAAATTTTATTAAAAATTTTAAAGTTATAATTTTAAAATTTTAAAATTGAAATTAAAAATTGTTAAAAATGAATTCTAACATATTTATATTACATATGAAACTTTATTAATTAGGTTACATTATATTTGAAATAAATAAATTAATAAATAAATAAAGTTTACTAAATCTGAGAAATGACTTAGCTAGTTTTTGTAGTAAGTGCCATTAATATTACTTAAATAATATTTAAATTTAAAGAGAAGAAAAGGAAAAAAAAAAAAAAAAAAAATTTACATATACTTTGATATGGAAAAATAATCTTACTTAATATGAGTAATTTTCCTTCTGTTATAAAGTAATATAGTTTAAAACTAAACAATGAAAATATTTTAAAATTTTAAAGTTGTAATTTTGAATTTGTAATTAAAATTGTAGTTAAATTGAATGAATTCTAACCTAAATTTCTTTTTAAATAATACTACACGCATTAAAAAGAATCCAAAAATAACAATCTATAGTAAAATAAAATTAATATGAAATACCATAACATGTAAGCTTTTGAATGACCCATGTCCTCAGTACTTACATGTGAAATATTATAATAATAGGTTTATATATAAAAGAAAAGTTTAAAATCAGTGAAATTAAGTAACTATTTCTGCTGTCATAAAAATATATACAAAAAAAAAAAAAAAAAAATGTAACCTCATATACATACTTAAACTTAATGTTAAAATAATCCTACATAATAATGGATTCTAATACATTTAACTGTTCTTAAAAGAATATAGTAAAAATAAAAATTAAAAAGGAAAATATTTCAAATCGTAGTTAAATAAAAGTATTGTAAAAAAAAATCTTTAATTTTAAAAGATGACGTTGAAAATTTTTACCGTTAACAATTTTTTTTTTTTTTTTTTTTTTTAAATTCAGACGACATCCATTCAACTGACGTCAGGTTTCAGTGTAAAATACATCCTCACCCCTTACCAAATGTAGCTAATAACTGATACAATGATACTGTCATAAGGAAAATCTAGACACCCTGTGTTCAATTTGAGAAGAATATTCTGTAAACATGGAAACGTGATTTTAGCTGTGTATTTAAAACCCGGTAAATTTTAAAAGTTACTCCAAAATTCGCTTGAAGATGAAATAGAACTAATGCTTTTAATTTATTTGCAAAAAAAAAAATTAGGGTTTTTAGCTTCTATTTTGAAACATGGTTGGAACTGTGTAGCGAAAATAACCATATTTTTAAATCAATTAATTTATAATATATATATATATATATATATATATATATATATATATGTGTGTGTGTGTGTGTGTTTACACTAGTATTTTTACTATAAATGTACTAGTAATATATATATATATATATATATATATATATATATATATATTTTCAATGTAACTGCCGCCGGCTGCGACGACCATCTCAAGACGGGCGTGAAATGAGTCACAGGCTTTTACGACCATGTCCTTGTCAATAGCGGCTAACGCCTCCACGCTGCCAGCCTTTAGAGAGTCGACCGTGTTGTAGGCGTGCTTGTTGGTCTTGGCCTAGATCATGCCCCGGAAGAAATAGCCAAGGTGGGTTGCAGTCGGGTGTGGTGGGCGGCCACAAGTCCGGCGATCAGTGGTGAAGAATATTGTTGAGCAGCCACGCCTGCGTCGTCTTAGCCTTGTGTGCAGAAGCGGAGTCCTTCTGGAAGACGGTAGGGGCGTCGGGCGGTGATCTCGTCCTTCCAGTGCTTCTCCACGGTCCTCACCACCTCCTGGTAGATCTCAGCGGTGACTCAGGCGCTTTTGAAAGATAAACGGAGGCATGACGTCTCCCTCGCTGGAGATGACGCCAAGGACCATGACGGAGGAGGGAAACTTCGTACGCTTCACGATTGGAACCTCCTCGATGTCTTTGCAGATCCACCTGTCGTTCTATTCTTTTCATCAGAGAAGAACGTCAGCATCCTGGCTGACCCGTGCTTGAGTTAGTTCAGCAAAGCCTCCGCATTGACCTTCCTCGACTCCTTCGATGTATTCGTGACGAGCATGCTTTGAGACTTGTGGTAGGAGGAGTAACCGATGTCCTTCTTGATTCGTTAGGCAGATCGTCGAATTGTGACAGTCCATGTCAGCGGCGATCTTGGCGTACCTTTGGCTTCCATCATTGTCGGCTGTCTCCTTGACGGCGTCGACGCACTCGTCGCTCCCAACGGCCGAAGATCTAACGCTGTGGGCCTTTCGTTTGGCAGTAAACTCGTCCTTGTTCTCACACGCCTTCCACTTCCTCCAAATGTCTATGAACTTGGTGCCCTTGAAACCAAATCAGGCCATCATTTCCGCAGGATTTTTCCCGACGGGAAAAGTAGCTACTACCGCTGCTCTGCGCTCATATTCCATCGTGGAAAAGGGTGAAGAGAAAACTTTAGTTAGTTGTCGGATTTTTGCTGCAAATCATATATATATATATATATATATATATATATATATATATATATATATATAAAGTATAATTACAAACAATGCATTTTATAGAAAATGCCTTGTAGTTGAATACATGCAGTTGTGTTCAAAATATATTGACGTTATGAGATTGTGTTTAAAATATTCAGACTTCGGCATTAAATACCTCACAGATGTTGATATGCCACTAAACAATAACAATTAAAAAAAGAATATAAGAGCGAAAAATAAACTTCCATTCAATTTTTACTTGCAACGGAAAAATCGAAATACGCTTACCTGAGAATTGTATTTCACTTCGGAATTAAAACGAATGACGAAAATCAATTCATCATTAGTTTTATCCACTTAAATCTGAAATAACATTGATCTCCAGATGATGGACAATTCGCACGCAACGTTCCTTGCAAATAATTGTGAAATAATTAATGAAAATGATTAAAAGAATTAAAAAGGAGTCAAAAGAAAACCGGAAAAAATGTAGAATAAAATTAGAAACAAAGTTCTAAAGCAGGCATGGGTAACCTTTTCTGCCCAGTTGGCATCATGATCTATGGTTCATCATAAGGCGGGCCAAACTACTAACAAGATCCAAGGTAATTTTTCGTCATTGGTATCTCATCTACCATTGGTACAGAAGACCATATGCGCATGCATATACCTTAGA